TACAGAAAGCAATGCGTGTTGAAACTTATATTGCCTTGTTAAACCGGTACAGAAACGATTGGATTGATCGATATTTGATGGAAAGGTGACATGTGACGAAAAGTGGATTGTTTACGATAACCGTTAGCGAAAAATGCAATGGCTGACCCCAGGTCAAACGCCGTAACAGCGCCCTAAAGCAAAGCTTACCAATAAAAAGGTAATGGTAATTACTATAGCTTTCTCAGGTCTGGTCAGGCAATAACAGCATATGTTTACTGTGAGGAAATTTGAACAATGATTGCGAAACTGGCAGTGAAACAGCCCAGACTCGTGAATTGATCCTCGCCATTATTGCTCCATGATAATGCAAAACTTCACACTGCACGAGAAACAGTTGTAAATCTACAGGAGCTGCAATTAGAAACTACACGTCATCCTCCGGACTCGCTAGACCTTGCTCCAACAGACTACCATTTTTCCGTGATTTGGTCAATTTTCTACGTGATAAAAAAAAATCTTACCTGGAGGCAGTACAAAATGCTTTAACACAGTTTGTCGAATCTAGATTCAAGAGTTCTATCATAAAGGCATAAATGAACTTTTATTATTATTTGATGATGAGGGTTAATATTTTTATTAAATAAAAATGTTACATCTGAGAAAAAAACGAGTTTCAATTTTTCACTACAAATCGGCAATTTCATACTTTAACCCCTAATAATTAACTATAACCCTTAACATCATGCATGGCTTTGTATGCATTGTATTATTTTGACATTACAAGCAGACACTTCAATTTTATTTATTTGTATAGATGTAGGTACAAAAGCTTCTCCAACACCTGTAGCTTAGGTAATCTTAATTTCAAGAATCTAATGCGTTTTTGTAGTTTTCTCGGGTTTGTGTAAATCCAAAGTTTCCAATGTTAGTCAAAACGAGAGTTTTATCTTTATTGTACAACTTTCTGACCTTGCGGCGTAGTTTCTCGAGTTCCGGTGCCCACCTGTGGTGTTTATTACCTGAACAAGTTCTGAGTGTTGAAAGTAAGTATATTTACTCAAGTTTAGGTCTCTTCTTAGGGTCTTTCTTCTCATAAGGCTGAACCCTTTGGAAATCGGCACAGGTATACAAGTGTAATAGATTTTCGACACGTATAATTTTATTATCTTTATTTTGCTAAATATTTGATAAAACAGATATTATTGCTATTGTTTGTGTTGATTTATGACGCGTGTGTTGATCTGTGACTTTAGAGTCGAAATATGAGACGATTTTAAACATTTTTTTATGAAATAAAGATATTTTGAGTTTGAGTTTGATGCCTCATTAGAAACATACCAATACGAAATGTGTAATAACACATGTTCACTTACTAAAGTTAGATTTATGATTGTTTTAGCTCTGGATATAACAAACACCAAACGGCAGATCTGAGTCTTCACTTACAAAGTCTATGGATTTCCATAAAGGTTTTTGTATTGCAGCGTATTGGTAATTTTCATATTTTCTATTATCACATTTACATAAGTACACGGTACATTATCTTGCCAACGGTATGTATGCAGCATATACAATACTTAAACAGCTCGTACAAGTAAAATTGGCAGTATTCTAATTACGACTTGGCAACTCATACTTAATATACAATCAAATACGTGCTGAAATTTTTCCAGAAGTTTAGTTACACATTCAGTTTTATTTTAAATTTGTAACATCAGCTTAAAAAAAAACTCAAAATTAATTACGTTTCGTCACATCAGCCATGACAATTGTTAAACAAGCAGATATCCATGTTGTGACAAATTGAAATGACTGTTGCTGGCAACAATACTCGTCAACCGTAACAGACAGGCAGAATCAATGATATATTCAGTGGCATATATTGAGTGACAATGATTACGAAAAGCAGACTTGTAATACGTCAGCAAGAAGTATTTTGTCAGTTAACTAGCATATGGAAGTGAAAAGACTAAACTAGTTATTTTGATTTTACGAACGCCATATTAAAATTCGCCGATTGCTTATTGTTTACAATTAGTGAAATCCAAATATTTGTGTCTTATGGAATCTCCGGGTACAACATACGAGGGCGAAATTTCAGGAAAAAATTCCATGAAATTAAAAAACAAATTCGGTAGTTTTTTTAGGATGCTAATTAAAAGTTCTATAGCTAGTTCCATATATCTAATTTCTATCCACGACTGTTTAAAGTTTCGGTGATCAAAATTTCATTAAAAATAATTTATCTAAGTATTTAGGCTAGATTTCGTCAACAGCACGAATCAAAGCGGTCCTAAACATGAGTAATTTGTCTCAGCAATGCTAGCGCACAGGTTAAAGAGGGGAGTTTAAGGTGATAGTATTTGCAATTGCAACTAAAGAACCTAAATTAAAAGGTCTACCCGCCCGTTGAAGTGTAAAACAGCAACTCTAAAATACCCTAAAAGATAATATGAGATACAGATGTCTTTGTTATCTTTCTTAGCTCGAATTGAATTAACTGACACGATCCTATTTCAAGTTAAATTACTGTCTAAAAACAATAGATCATTATGAAAATTTAAAAAGGCAGACAAAAAATATATTTTAAGTAATATTTTTTAGCGAATCTGCAAAATGACAATTAAGATACTTTACAAGTGACAGTGATCTTTAAATGTCTTTTAGGTATTCTTTTTTAAACAAAATATTGTATAAGACGTGCTCGCTTATTTGACTTGTTTGTATTGCAGTTTCAATAGCAGAAGTTAAATATGAGTATTTGTTAATTAGAATGTATTAGAGGGCTTCTTTGAATCGGATTTTTGTTATTTATTTTTGCAGGAGCAATTTGCATTTGTAATATAATGTACATTTTGTAACATGTTTTTATGGCGGTGTTATGGAAATCGTCGACAATTTTCTAGATATATACGAGTCATACAAAACCAAGAATGAATGTAAGTAGCTGGAATATAGTTTCCTAAAGTTGACCAGAAAATCCATATTAGTCCATACTAATCCATACTATCAATACTAATATTATAAATGCGAAAGTGTGTCAGTCTGTCTGTTACCTCTTCACGCTTAAACCGCTGAACCGATTTAGAAATGAAAACGAAATTTAGTATAGCGATAGTTTGAGTCCCGAAAAAGGACATAGGATAGTTTTTATCCCAGAAATCACACTTTAAGGGGGTGAAAGTTTATATGGGAAATCAACACCCCTGAACCGATTTTAATGAAATTTGGCATGGAGAGACTTTGATTCTTGAGGAAAGAAATACTCGTAGGGCACTTTTTACCGCGATTACCGACAAACACGCGTACGGATCTAAAATCTCTGCGGTCACAAGTTTAGGGGTTGTGAATTGATCTGAAACAGACAGGATCTGAAACAACTATTAAATTTGAACACTTTTTGAAGTTTTAAAGTTTTAAGTGGATTTAGAACACGATCTAAAGGCAGTTCAAAATTAAACGACCACGGACTGTTTAGAACCCCGTCACACGCAAGGGTTGACCACATGCAAATCTTGACCTTGCAGTACAAGGTCAAGACTTGCAATAGAGGTCGAAGAACAAATCTTCGATTTCTTTGAACGGGATCCTCGAGCAAGCACACGGGCCCGCAGCGCAACGCTTACGCGTAAGCCAATACGCAGTATGGAAGCTGATTAACACCGCTGGCTTGCACCCTTACCGTTATCAAAAGGCCAAGACTTACTAAGAACAGACGCCTTACCTCGTCGACAATTCTGCGTGAGGCTTGTCGCACACCCCGGTGCCAATATTTTGTGGACATACGAGGCTTTGTTTACTCGTGTGGGTACACCAAGGGTTTGTACTACCATCATAACGAACATTGGTGGTCATATCACAACCCACACGTCGTTAGACGAGATCTAAACTACATTTTAATTCTAGATATCTAGAAGACTACATTTTAAACATTTATTAAAATACATGTAAAACAGTAGTGGTAAGTTAACCTGTAATTGCTTTTTTTTATTAATTATTGTACATACACTAAAGATTTATGTATATGTATTTTTTACTTATTTCAAACGTACCCTTTAATTGCGTGAAGTTTATCAATGAAATGTAGCGAAGTATCTATGTGATACCGATGGAGAGGTCATTGACACTTGCACGACTACCGATTGCAGTGTGTCTACAAATTGCGAGTTCTTGATACAACTTTGTGATGCTAATTACTCAATATTTTTGTATCATGTGATACTAAACTAAAATGCGGGTTTCTCATAAATTTTACTAAAGATTCTTCTGTGTTAATATGGACGGCAAATTTAAAGTCATGCGTATATCGAAGACCATCGTATGAATTAATGAATAAATGTGAATTAAGGCCCATTATTGTCATTATCTGAACAAAATAGAAAAAAAAAACCATATTTAATTAAAGAGATCAATGTATAATTGAAGGCATAGACGAGCACACTGCTCTTTATTTTTTCGTAAATTATTTAACCACAAAAGTAAATAGCTTAGGTATTAAAAGAATATATGCAAAAGTCTGAATAAATAATGTAGACGTGCCAAAACACGAAATCGAAATCGATTTGTACCCAAGTCTTATAACACACCGAAAAAACATAATGCTAAATACATAATTTACATCAATAACAACTTTAATATAAATTACTTAAGAGGTCATCATTATTCATAAAAACCAGTATTCAACATCAACTGTGTACCAGACAAAGTAAAAACTGCAAGATTGTGACGGCCACTGGCGCTAATAACATTTAAGTACCTCCTTTCGCTTGCTATACCTACGGTGGTAACCAATATCATACGTAAATACTTTTATCAACACATCATTATTTTTTTTTTTAACTAAAGTAGGTTTAAATTCCCATTATTTAATACTTAGATAATTAACGGGTATTGTAAGAGTAACTCCAGTGGTGTTAAAGTACATCTTTTAATTACGTTTTATTGTTAGCCTTATCTCTGCAGAGCATTAATTGTTTAGCTACAGAAAAATTACTTATAAGTTATACAAATGGTCTTACCGAATAGTTTAATGTGAAATTTCATTTTGCTGTTATTTTCACGAAACACGTAAGGAACACAAAACAGCCGCACGATATATTAGCACGCACGCGCGCCGCGATACGTTGCGAATTGTGGCGAACTGGCGAGCTGCGCGAACGCTTGTCTTTCCACGACTGCCTTTTTTACGGTGGCTATGTCGCCGGTCGATTACTTTTAGATCCGCACACTGCATTTGAAGGTCTCACTTCACGTGCCACTTCAAAACATCAGATCGTCAATAGACATTAGCGATGTAACGATAAGTAAACTCCTTAAACGATTTCATAATATTTGGTAAAGAAAAAATATCTACTATCTTATCAGCTTCCAAGTGGTATATAGTGGAATAGTATATTTACTTTACATCACTAACATCTATATAAAGAACTAGCTATTCCCTGCGGTTTCACTCGCGTGATTATTTCGTGTTTCTACATTTAAAAATGGCAAACGTCCATACAACCGTTCATCCCGTATATAATCCCCTTGGAAATGAAATTAAAAAAAATGTGTGGCGACTCCCACATACAAAGAAACAAACATACTACAGCGCCATCTAATGAAGAAACCGAACTACGGAGTAACTACTATATAAGAATTGCTAATTGCTAATGCCTGTATCGCGATATAAAGAATTCCCTCGCCGATTAGCATATATACAACTTCCCAACATCAACCGTTGGAGCCGCGGCCCGCCAGGCATGATCACCTCGCCTGGTCGGAGGATCCTCCCTTTGTGTTGGAGGGACATGACACCCGTTCCTCCACAAATATATCTCTGTTCTTTCTTTGTGGGAGCTTAAAACATAAAAAGTATCAGCTGCCAAAACTTTGCGTTGATGAATAAGTCAACCAGTAAAGGCAAGTAAATTTATATGTAAAGATTGTAATACCTACTTTATTTTTCTACATCTTAAAGTTTACAATAATTATTATCTGATGATACCACTCTTACACACAGACATAATTATATCTCATCCCTAGTCGTTAGCTTCATTCATTCAATAACTGATTGAAACAATTATAAAGGCTAAATGAAAATAAAAAGCTTGAATTCGAAATATTCGAATAAAATTAAATCCATATCAAAATAAACTTAGTTAGTTTTGCTCATTATAAAAGCAGACAACATTTGTTCGTCGCTTGCATTGTCCTGTTTGTAGTCCCGTGATAGGTATTTACATACATTACTTCTCAGGAAAATGTTTTATTCAACCCTAACGCGTTGAAGTCTTCTTTTTCGTCTTGTTAGAAAATAAGTTTATTGCTCCTAAAACTTTAAGAGTTAACAATACTGTTGTGGTGTACTCTTAAAGTTTTAAGAACAATACGCGTTAAGGTTGAATAAAATGTTATACATTAAATTCACACAAGAGTTTACTATTATAATTCTTTAGGTGTGGATGAATTCGATGCATTTTTGGGTAGAAGTGGATTTTCGAATAGAAATTCTGTGGGAACAACTGGCTTTGAAATGTTTTCCCTCATATAAAATACATCGCAGTGTGTGTATATAATTAACTTTTCTTTCGGAATCTATATAAAAGACACACACACACACACAGACGCATATAATAAGATTTTTAGATTTTCGCTCAGGAAACTGGATATATTCTGTTTTTTTTACTAGTTATTTTTTGGAGTAGAAGCAGTTTATCCAACTCGATACTTATAATCTTGTTCATTTTCTCAATGTGATATACCTGATTCTCATAAAATGAACTAAATTTTAACAATAAAAATTATAATTTACCAAAATCTGAGAAAATATTTATTTTGGATACCACATATATCTTAACATCTGCCACAATGTCGAAGAGGTCGTGCTCAAACCCGTAAAGGTTACTCACATTCATTGTATTTTTTTTTGTTGCGGTAGGAAGCATGTAAGTTCCGCGTACCACGCTAGTAACCAGAACCGTCACTAATAATATCTTAAAGGATATATCTATCTACTGTAACTAACAATGGTTAAAATATTTTATAATAAGTTACGTATATTAAACACAATATGTGTAATCTCGTGAATTGTAGAGATCAATAAACTGGCATTTCAACCTTTATTTAGCACTTATTAGTTAATTTACTATTTTTAATTTATTATTTTATTTCAGTTAATAAAAAGAATCCGTAATTATAAGCATTCTCGTGATTTTAGAATACTATTTAGGAATAATTTGCAACAAGAAACCTGATATAATTAATGAGACAAAAGCTAAGTCCACATTAAAACTATTTTTTCAAGCTTTTTACAGCGCCTTATTTTCTTTTTTTTTGCAAATGGATGTTTTGACTTTCATCACTATTTTATGACTGATCTTTTCCGTGGTTCATTCTTCTTCTTTTTAATTTGTCTTTTTATGGGGCAGCTTTAGTTATGTTTATAATTCATCAAAGTTTTTTTAAAATTGTCTGAAATATGACCATAATTGTTGAAGATCACGGAATACTCATAGGACTTGCCTACCGACTTGAAGGTTTACTGGCGTACACCGCTTAAACCCACAGAGTTACATGAAGTTAGCTATATAATCTAATTTATTACAGATTTTATGTTTTAAAAATCTTTAATTTCTTCTAAGGTTAATTTCAACATAAATTAAAAATGTTGCTGAAAATACTTCCAAACACTTCTTTATTAGCCATGTTGAAATAATTACACTCTTATTAAATTAGAACATCCGCATGAATTGTTACAGCTAAATTGCCGATTCGATTTAAATTAAGTAAGATGCGTAAACCTACTAATAGATTAGAACTGTTTCACACTAAATAACGTTCATCTAGTACTTCGAAACAATCCGGATCATCATCATCATCAGCCCATCGCAGTCCACTGCTGGACATAGGCCTCTCCCATTGCACGCCACTTAGATCGATTGTCGGCTTCTCGCATCCAGTTCCTACCAGCCATCTTGAGCAGATCGTCTCTCCACCTGGCCTGTGGGCGTACTACACTACGTTTGCCTAGACGCGGTCCCCACTCAATCCGGATCAGTAACACCAAACTATTGTATTCTATAATCTAACCAATATCCGATTTTATTACTGTTTGTGTATTTTAAAACAAATAAACAAACTATCTTAGTTTATTGTTGACGTAAACCTTGTCAAAGACACTGAAAATATTAGCCTTGAATTAGGTAGGTGCTGATAAAAGTAGGTACCTAAACATGCAGGTGATGCTGCAGATAACGTCGAATAGCATTTAAAATGAAAAATCCACTTCTGTTTACAGGTAGGTATTACGTAGGTACCATACATATCTTATTAAGGTATAAAGCACGCAAATAGTGATATTTAAACAAAATAAGATTGCGATAGTATCACAAAGATCTAAATAACGAGCCATTGATCTTAAGTCGTTTGCAATGTTGCACATTTTTTGTTCGTTTTTACATGTGAACGGTGAAGTGAACTCACATTTATTAGCACAAGACCTGTTCTGGATACGGGACAAGATCCTGGTATAAATTTATTCCATGTCAGAGTTATAAAAAGTTCAAATAACAAATAAATTACATTACATCTCCATGCACATAATATCATGAAATATCTGCGTTGCCAACTTCATATTTGAACAACAATTAATACATAAAATGTTAATAAAATAGAATTTCTAGATCGATAAACCTAACACAAAATCAATATTTCTAATACCTAATACTAATTCGCAGTGAAAGGCATTTCATATCCTTTTCTTACTTTTTTATAAAACCATTATCTTGATATTAGCAGCAATAATAATAACTTTATACATCTCACATCACGGCCATCTGATTCAAAACTAGGCAGAGCCTGTACTAAGGTAACCAGACTACTGATAAACATACTTATATAGTTCTAAATACATACATATTATAAGTAAAATACACCCAGACACGGAACAGATCATCGTGCTCATCACACAATTATTTTTCCTGGGTGGGAATCGAACCCACGACCGTCGGCTAAGTAGTAAGGGTCACTAACCACTAGACCAACAGGTTTAATATCAAAATAAATATTTCGGACATCGGACCCACAACGCTATCTAGTTTCAAAGTAACTGATAAAATACTTATTTACTTGTTTTTGTAAATACATAAATATAGGAAACACCCAAACTCCGAAACAAATATTTGCAGATCATACAAACATTTGGTCCGACCCGGGAATCGAACCCGAGACTGCAGCACAGCAGTCGCACACGCTACCACTGAACCACCGAGGCAGTTTGTCAATTAGTCTATAACATTACTTAAGCACGGAGTTTCAAGTAAAATGTTTTTTACCTGAGTGCAAAACAAGACAGGAATACGTAAAGTCAATCAACAACTATAAGTATAAAACATCTGACTGATAAATAGTTATCTTTAACTGTCTTTCAAAGGCTTATTTGGATTTTGTCTGTTAAGAAAGAGAGAACACACAGAAAACCGGTGTTAAGCAGTTTCTTTGTTGTTTTTAAATGACGGGCCTGTTGGTCTAGTGGTTAGTGACCCTGACTGCTAAGCCGGAGGTCGTGGGTTCGATTCCCACCCAGGACAAATATTGTGTGATGAGCACGATCATTTGTTCTATGTCTGGGTGTAATTTATCTATAATATGTATGTATTTAAAAATATATAAGTATGTTTATCAGCAGTCTGGTTACCATAGCACAGGCTCTGCCTAGTTTGGGATCAGACGGCCGTGTGTGAGATGTGTGAGGTATATTATTATTATTTTAAATGAGTAAGTGAGGTGATGTATGACTCTTCAGTTGCAGGTGTCTATAGGCGGAGGCAGTCACTTACCATTACCGTATATTCTTGACAAACTGTGAAAGTTTTCGCTTACGGTTATCGTAAATAATCCACTTTTCGTAACATGTCACAATTCGATCCAATATTCCTTCATTTCTGTACCGATTCAACAAGGCAACACAAGTTTCAACATGCATTTCTTTCTGCAGATCAGTCAAATCATGAGGCACCCATTTTTTATATTTTTTTATCTTATTGATTTGATGCAAATGAGTGAATATTGTAGGTAGGTCACGTTAAACCATGCCGCTAATTAATGGGTAGTTTGACTCGGATCGGCTACCACCATCTCCTTCAACTCAGTGTTATTCACCTTTGTGGGCGGTCGTCCACGTGCTTCTTTCTTTAAGTCGAAGTTTCCATTACGAAAGCGTTTTAACCAAAACCGCACGGTGCGTTTATTAGCAGTCTCCTCTCTAACGCAGCGTTGATATTGCGAGCCGTATCGCCCGTATTTTTTTTAAAGAAGAATTTCATAGATATCATGATGAAAAAGTTTCACACGAAAATCTCACACCATGAAGGTTTAATGTCAATTCAAAATATCTATTACCGGCAATTTTATACTTTAATACCTATTATTAGTAGTCTTAACAGTAGATGTTGGTAAAGTGACTTGAAGTTCACGTAGGCGAAACCAGGTAAATGGGCTAAATTTCTAGGTTACTTATAAAAATGACATATAACTACGGAGATGTTACATAATATACAGAATGCTTAAACAGTGATTAACTACTTCAAAAATTGTTAATTAAGCATTGTTTCCGTAATAAAAAAAACAGTCCAAAGTAAATTTCTCCTGTTATTTTTTCTCAAACTAGATATAAATATATATACATTTTTTTTAGTTTTATTCAGGTGCTATTTAGGTTCAACGATTTTACGAAGTTGGTGAAAAAGTTAAATTATGTAACTTAATAGGATTCGAAAATAAGGTCTACAAATTAATTGATGAAAATTAAAATTCGCATTGAAAGGCAAATACAGATACGCAGTTCTTGTATTTTATTAAATTCACACATATTAGTAGGTCCTTACATATGAAATTGGTGTTTCGTACGGGTGGAATATAAAGTCAATATTTTTTTTGTAAAATATATTTAATTAATCAAAGTATGCACCGTTGTTTTCTATGCACTTTTGCTATATCATAGGTAGTTTATTGATCCCTTTAGGTACTAAAAAAACATGGGGGCGAGAATCACTAAACTCTTTGAAGGCGGTTTGGACTGCAGTTGTCCAAATTTCGGAAAAAATGGTAATCTGTTGAATCAAGATCCGGGGAGTACGGTGGATGTCGCAGAGATTCCATTTGTAGCTCATCTAACTTAGTGGTTGTTTGTTGTGCAGTGTGTGGTCTTGCGTTGTCGCGAAGCAGCAGTGGCCTAGAGCGATTGACCAATCTCGGTTGTTTAGCAGCTAGTTCTTCCTTGATGGTTTGCAGTTGCTGACAATAGATATCTGCCGTAATCGTTTGGCCAGATTTTAGAAAGCTGTAGTGAACGACATCGGCGCTAGTCCACCAAACACTCACAAGTAACTTTTTTTGAGTAAATTTTCGTTTAGGGCAGGATTTGGGTGGGTCTCCAGGGTTCCACTTTTCATCGCAAGTAATGATTCGATTTAAAATCCCTTCATTATTGTGTCGGTTCAGCAAAGCAACACAGCAGTTGACGCGTGTTTGCAAGTTCGATTCACTCAATTCATGAGGTCGAAGGTCAAAATCAGCTTTAGGTGAGTCTGCTCCTTCTCAGGCAACTTTGGATGGTTTAACGAATTTAAAAGGGGGAAAACTAGCCTTGAAGATGATGACAGAAGTGGACGCCCGCCAACAGCAGTCACTACTGAAAATGTGTGGACTACTGAAATGCTTGTGCGAGATAACTCACGAATTACATACTGGGACATAGAGAAAATCTTAGGCATCAGTTCGGTTAGGAATTGTTCGAATGAGGAATTGTTGTCGTTGGAAGAAGCGTTCCTTGGTATCGGTGTTTCCAGATCGCCAGTTGCCAACAAAATTGCAACCGCGGCAAATTGGCAAAAAAGTTTTTTTTACAGGGAGTGGACATCTTGCAACATCATTGCTAGAGAATTGTAAGTCTGTTAACTCAGAATGGTACACTACAGTCGCTTCGCCAAAAGTTTTCAAAGCTGTGCAGGAGAGAAGACCAAAGACTGGGCTCCGGGGAATGATACTGCACCACGACATTACGTCTTCACACTGTTCCCTGAGAACAAAGGCGTTTATTCAAGAATTGGGTATTGATACACTACCTCACAGCCCTGACAAGTCACAAAGAGCTAATTCTTGTGACATTTTAGTCCCCACTATATAAGAGGGCGAGTTTTTTTCAAGTGCCGAAGAAACGGTGGCTGCTTACGAATCTGTCATTTTTACCTGCCGGAGAAAGACTGGAATGTGTTTCCAAGACTGGTTAAGGCGGCTGGAAATTTGTATAGAGAGTGATGGAGAGTATATTGAAAAAATATAATATAAATGTAAGTATACCCCTACTCATATTGTTTACTTGTTGCGTGTCTCAAAATTTATATGGGTGATTAGATAATTTTCTAGAAATGAATCACGTGAATACAACCTTAAAATAAGCTTTGGTGCCTCAAATTGAAAGGTTATTTTAATTGCCGCAAATACCCGTTTGAAATTTCGCGATGGCGGTCATCACCGGCTAATGCTCCTATTATTATATACGGCCACTTCAAATATATCTGCTAACATGTTTCTTCGACTATTCGATATTTTGTATTAAATTCAATTGGCAGGCCTGTTAATAAGCATTCCTTACGAATAGATGCTTTTTATTTACACAACTGTAACGCAGTTAACTAGCATCCACAGGAGATTCTCTTTGAACCTAAATTCCTCTGATTGGACATCGAGACCGTCATCAAACTTGCATAAGCATTGTATGACGTGGAAAAAAATGATAACAAATTTGGACATCTGGGATGTTTAAAATGATACTTAGATCTCGGTATTTCAGGTATAAATAAAACTACATTATTATTATATTAGTCCATAGATTTAACTCATTTGCACATAACTAAACATCATGTCATGACTAGCTATTATTTAAATAAACATAATGTCAATATATCTATACTGCTTATTAGATTGTACATACACTAAATCATGTTTTACAATAACTAAAGTAGTTTTTTTCAATATGGAAAGATGGCAACACATAGTTTTCAGGAAAAGGGACAATTTGACCAGCCAGTTTAAACACAGTGATAAACAAGAACCAGTTGCAAAAAGAAAATTAGGACAGAGATAAGTACGTCTATTCATTATATTCTAAGTATTTACAAAACATGTGTTCGTAAGTTAATTAAATGAGCCGCCATCTTTATTTATTTTTTCTTTTTTATCTGTCGGCACACAGCTAATCGGAATCTATTATACTGATCGTCCAGCGTACTGAACTGCAAACTGTGGACTTACATTATGACTAACAATAATGATATACTAGTTGCGGCCGGCGCTACCAATTTATTAGGACACCTTTGGGTTTTAAATAAAGTTATTCGAACACATTATACAATGAAAAACCGAATTTTATGGATTCCAGAGACAAAAATAGTTTACCTTACCTACTTTTAAGTGCACCTACTTCATGCTTTCGGTTGACTGATAGAGAATGCCTTAGATCTCCAAAAATAGTGCACCGTGCGGGCAACAAGCGATGAGCGACTACTACATGTAACCGATCAATGACAATTCAAAATTTAGGTACCCATATGGGGTTAGCACTGAACATACTTATTGCTTGGTTTCGTGAGAGGAGTGCTTAGAGCGGCAATGGATATAGTATCAGCACTTTCATTGTTATACGGATTCGGGTCATCAAGAGGATGAGGAGAAGGAGAGGATTCACGGGCAGTTACGAACTGCATCTGCGACTGTCGTCAGTCGCGAGCACGCTTGCACTGAGCCGTTTTAGTTCTATGTTTTATCAAGTCGCGCGACATCGCTTGCACGCTGCACGAGCCCTTAGACATTAAATCTGCATACAATACTTGTGCATAAAATTAAACAAATAATTAAAAGAAAAAATCTAGATATAATAATAATAAGGATTATTAAAAGTTGCTAACAGTTCTAGAAAGAGCTGTAAAACTTATTGCAAAAAGAGCTTCGGTAGACTCTAAAGCTTCTAATAGAACAGTTGACAGATTCAGTTCAGATTCTTATTAGGCTTGTGTTACGGAGTTTTATTTAAGAACCACTTAAAATTATTTTCCAATGTTTTTTACTTTCTAGATAGTTACTCTTAAGGCGTGAGTCGTGTATAGTCAGGCAGTCTGAAGTGGTCCTGAAGTCACCGTTTTATTGTATTCATAAGGTACTATAAAGGTATAGAGTTATTTTACAATATATTTTAATCTATATAATTTATTATTTATTTTATAGCACATGCTTAGTCTCATACTTACATAATAACAATATATAGAATACTCTAAAAGCGTATGCTTTTTATTCATACCTATGGTATGTAAAATACTAATAATAAATAAACACCTTATTATTTATTAGATATGAATGGTTCAAGTGAAGAAGTAGAATGGTTAAAGTATCAAACAAGGATTGAATAAGAAAAGACACAGATAAATAATGAAACAATTAAGTTAAGCCGCTTTAAAACTAGATAGGTTTACATTATCTCAGTAAAATTAAACTCTTAGACGCTTTAGTGCCGACTAAGCGAGAATAGTCTATAACATCGTTGACTTTCTTCCCATTTCGCCTGGCAGCATGTTTTTTGTAAGCTTTATACAACATCACCGCTCCGTTCACCCACACGGGTATAAAGTTTAAATCACTTTCTTTGGGACAGTTTTCATCTATACTGTCAATGTCGGGATCAAGCCTCGAATATGGTGATGCCTCTAGTTTAGGGATACAGTCTACTAACGGGAACCATTTGTAGGTTTCTGGACACAGCAGATCTGATGGGTTGAAGTTGCCTTTGTATCTCATCTTGCGACAGGAGTGAATGTAGTAGCCCATGTAGTAGTATTGGATTTGTGGACACAGTGAATGCAAGTGTCTGGTGAACTCAATCTCTCTGAAATAAGAGAATATTTTTTTTATACCCATTAATAATAGTTTTTAAAAACATCATGCCCTTATTCTAAGTTTTTAGCACAGGGTTGCCACCTGTATTTTAATTCATTATTTTAATTTTTTTGTCGTGTGTTTTAGAAATAAAATATGTTTTCTTTCTTTCTTTCCTTATTAATAAATAAATTCAGTTTAGTTATTTTTCATTCTAAGTTATTAACTCTGAAAAACAGTGTCATGAAAAATTGTGATAAGCTTCTGCATTTCAAATGGAACCAGCCTCAAGTACAAGTAATTCAATTTTTTTTTTTACTGAACTCTGTTTACTCGGAGTACGATATCGCTTGTTATTAGTGTCCGACCGAAACAGGTTTTTAAGCCGAAACCGAACTTTCGGCCCTTGTTACAGTTTCGGCAGAAACCGTAACCGAAACTCAAACTATCATTTTAAAATTTCGATACGAAATCTAGTGTATTTTTTAGCCATTTATCTGGTACAAGCAGATTACATACCACCTAAAACCACTGTAAAAAGGTGGACACAGGGCATTGATTCTAAATCAGAGAAAATGTATTTAGGTAGGAAGATAAGATAGATAACTAAGTCCTAGAAATTCACCTGTCCAAATCCACCTTGACAAGGCGAGGTAGCAGACTAGGTAACTTGTACGGACTATACGCGCTTTCACATAGTTAAAGTTAAACAACTGAAGATCACACGTAGTATGGAGTGCATTATCTTAAAAGACTTGACGATAATCATCAACAGCCTTTAACAGTCCACTGCTGGACATAAGCCTCTCCTTAGAAAGGAGGTTTTGGCCTACTATACCACGCTGGCCAGATGGGTTGGTAGTTTTTCTTGATAATTGTGTAATTTTTAGGGTTCCGTACCTCAAAAGGTAAAAAAGGATCCCTTATAAGATCACTTTCTTGTCCGTCGGTCGGTCTGTCAGTGTGTCACCACCGATTTTCTCAGGAACGGGTAGACCTAGCAAGTTGAAATTTATACCAGATACTGAGCTCTATGGTCCCTATTAGGTGTATAAAAATCAAGGTCCTGAGTCAATACGATAAAAAGATATGGGCAAATTTTGATTTTCGCGAAAACTTGTAAGTACCAAAATTTACCTTAATTTTCAACTTTTTTTATTTAATCTGGGTAGGTACGGAAACCTCGGCGCACGAGTTCGACTCGTACCTGACCGGTTTTTTAATTTAGGGTCACTATCAAATTACTAGTATTATCGTCAAGCCTTTTAAGAAGATGCACTCTAGTCTCACTAATATAACTACTGACTGTTAAGATTTTTACCTTAAAGCTCCATAAGTCCCTAAGGTTAGATTCATATACTGCGGGTCATAAAAGAAGTAAACAGAGGAAACACATTTTGGTAATATATCTATAACACCGACTGCTATTATTTTCCCATCCAGCCAATACTGTTGGTGAAATGAACCATAGCCACTAGGGGGCCCGTTCTCTCTATGCTCCTCCTAGAAAAACAGCACAAATTTATTACTTAAAAATAAAGTAATTAATTACAATAGGTCCCAATAGGTAAGTACAATAGGTAAAAAAGCCTTATTTTAATTTAAAGTAATGGTAAAATATAATTGTATTTTAGATTAAGTTTTTCACATTGCAGTCATTGAAACTTATGATATTTCTTACACAATCCTAAAAATATCCCGTGTCTTATCGTTAAAACTACCACGATATTGGGAGGTCGTAAACCTCTTTGCGGTAGCTTTACTTCTTAAAAACTGTCGTATGTCGACAGAGAGCTGTTTCATTAGAGAAAGTTTTGCCCTTTTCCCAATAATCTCAACAAAATAACGAAACAATTTTTTTTTTGTAATATTGTGTATTTAAATAAATGGTTTCTTTCACGAGAAAGTCGTTCGCGAAGGAGATATTAATCGCTGATTTTTGTGACTACCCGTCGATTTTCTCATCTTTAAGTTGCAGTTGCAGAGATGGCAGCACCTCCGATTAATCCAATCAACCGCTTAATATATAGAAAGAAATCATTGCCGTATATTAATCTCGTTTAACTCTCCTATTACACAAAACTACAATACGCAAATGACGTACAAAATAACTTTAAACCTATTAATAAAACGATCATACTCACTAAAAGAGGGCTCTGTACTAGAAAATCTTTAAACTTTGGCTCAGTACATTTATCAGGTTTATCATTGTGTATAGTAGTTTGATACTTGACATACACATCATGAGTTTCCTTAGCCGTTGCTAACCATTCGGGGCTCGGGGGCGTAGTTCTTACTAATTTTATCTAAAAAAATAAAGATGTTATAAAGAACATATGAAATTAAAATTATAATTAAAGAACTGCCATGCTTTGTTATTTTATTGAGACAGTTATAATCGTTGTTTACGTTCAGAGGTAGAATGAAAAGATTTCTCTTAGTTAGGTTAGGTTATCATCAATTACACCGTAACGTTCTCATTTTTCGATAAAATTGACAACTAAAAAAGGGTTGAAATAAAGATACAAAAATGTCATCTTCAAATATATTAAACCAAATGGGTAGATTAGAGTTCACAACTTTTGCAGCATGTGAACATTGATTGTAGTTACGAACACCATGAATATAATAGAAAACTAAAATCGGAAACAGCTTTTGGTTGTCACCTCGACCATCAGTGACAAGAGAAACAACATAATATCATAAAAAATAACCATGATGACGTTACGAAATATTTAACATACAATTGTTTTAACCTCTACCTGCATGTGGGTGTACTGTATAGTATAAGGTGATTTTAAAGTCATGGTAATCCCATCAGTTACACAAAGACACTTATTCAAATTCACTATCGTCAGGCGTAAAAAACGATGATAAAAAAAAGTAATTGTTACAGTACCTCTAGCTTATGTTTGACATCATCGGGCAACTCGTTTATAAAGTCCTCAATTTGTTTTTCCCTGTTTTTGCACGCATTGTTCACAGGAAGTACGTCAATACCCTTCTCTCGTAGTTTTTCTAGCTTCCTCTCTAGTCTTAATTGTTTCGCTTTTTTGCAAGGTGCTTTGTTAGGGTCTGGGCCGACATCTGCAAATCATGTCATGTCATATCTGTTTTTCACTGTTTTATGAAGTTCATTACAATTATGTATAGCAATGAACTGTAAAAAAGCAGCTTAAAATAGACAGGATGTCACTTCATTTGTTAAGAATTATACGATTTATTATTTAACGTGGCTTGTTAATTAATAAACCTATTCTGTTTCAATTGCAGTATCAAGTACTAACAGTAAACAGTACCTACGTTTTTAAAGCTCAGAAATAATCTATAATACTATCAGTTTCCATTTTATGAAAGTAGTCAGTAAGATCTGTGAGAGTAAATGACCGTGACATAATGAATAATCTAGACATTATAATGCTACCTTTACTATGTGCTCGGGAGTAGATCGGCGTTATCACATAGCTATCAGGGTCAGCTTTATGTCGAAGTCCACTTGACTTAGAGCACTTTTTATGGAATAAGAGGCAAATAAATAACGTGCTGCAAAACGAATCCGTTGTCGGATCCAGGATCGAATTTGGTTGAAAGGCAGTGGGAGGAGTATGGTTGGGACGATAGCCGGAGTTGTTCGGTGGTTCCCGTGTCAATTACTGTGCCCTTTAATCCATTGGAGGAGTATCCCATTGTTGTGTCAAGCTGTTCCAAGGCTCGATGGCATTCGAAGACAATACCTGAGGTCATTGTGTCGCCCTCCAGAGCCTTTAGGACGGCCATGGTGACTGACAGTATTCGGTAAGAGCCAGTTGCGTTCCAAATAGTTTGAGAAGTCTGAGATTTCCTAGACCACGTTCGTTGTTGAACATGATCATCTCTTTTTCTCAATGGGTTCACTGTCAAGTTGTGTGCTACAAACAACTGTTCAACGATCTTCAGTGCGAGTCTCATTTGATCGCAGATAACTTTCCAAAGACCACTCCACTGATGAGGATAGTCAGATCGTCAGCATAGTCTATTGTTAGGAATGTACAGCCATATATAAAAATGACAAGGGCATTTTGTTATTTCATATCATAAACATTTTACATTGACGGTCTTTTTTTTATATAGATAGACTTTAATAAACTAGCCTTAGCTGTGATTGTTTTCCTTTAAATTCGTTATATATGCTACTACCGTGAATTACTACCGTGGGGGGAGGGGGGGGGGGAGAAAACAATCAAAAATTTTTCAGTGTGAGTCAGAGTGTGTTCATGTGAAATTACAGGTTGCTAGCACTAATAGTCTGTGAGATACAGTGTAGACAGACGGACGATCAGACGTGCACAAACTATAAGGGTTCTGTTTTTGTCATTTTGTAATCCATAAATCTAATTTAATATATAATCTAATCTAAAAATTAGAATTTGTAAGAGTTCATGACAATATCATACCTTTTCTTATATTACTCTGAACAGCTTGAGATGCCGGTTTCTCCATTTTTATGACATCACTATTTATATTATTCTTATCTAAAAAAATGGAAAGTTATATTAAATTTTCAATATTCCTTGTATCTAGATTGCTATCTAACATGCGTGACACGTTAAAGTATTGTAATTCGTTTCATCAACGTCACATCAACTTAATCAAAGTGCTGTTCAAATCAAACAAGTGTCAAATGTTTTGAAAATATTAAGTTCAATTTTATGGAGGCCTCAAAATAGAACAATATGGTGCTGATGCAGATAAGAAATTTTTTCATGCCTATTGAAGAAAACGCAAGTTAGGGAATTCTTGCTGTGTTATGGAGGATAAGTACAAATTGCATTTAATCAAATGCATCAAAAAGTCATGAAATACTTTTAATTTTAACTGTTAATCTCTCACTCAGCTTAATTGCTTAATGTAAGAACATTAAACAATTTTAATATTCTATAAAGTAAATGAGCTGTGCTGCTATATTATAAAAGAAACCACAGATAAAATAATGCAGTGTGTAACCTAAAAATCAAATGTTAATAGCTTTTTTTCTCCGGCTTTCAAAATTGTTTTTGGCAAATAAAAATTGTTTTAGACATAGATTCTAAAAAAAAGATCCGATTTTTTACTATGTTTTTGACTACAAGATGATGCAATTTGTTTCCAAATAATTTTTGTATGGACACCTGCCATTATTCTTTCATTACGCCTGGAACAGTACTTTTTCAGGCTAAAAGCTTTTTCTCCATATGTCTTAAAAGGTGTATGCAAAATTGTGTTATGTTGGGATGAACATGAACAATTTTCACATATTAGATAAGCTTTGACAATCAGTAACATACTAAGCAAACAAGTGGCTATAGATAATATTCTTACAAGATATGATATCATAGTAATACCTTGAGCTTCATCACCAGATACATCTAAAACTTTGCTACTTTTAAAATCCTCTAAGTTGATGTCCTGATGCTCTCTCATACTTTCAACATACTGTTCCCCACCCTCCTCATATCCTTCCCCGAGAACTTCACTACCACTACTACAAGTAGACATCTTTCTGGGTGCTTCAGTTGGTGTAGAATCATGACCAATCAAAAATTTATTAACCTGCTTCAGGACCTTTTTTTGAGACTTAGTGGCTTTGAATTCCAGAGATCGACATCTGAAAAATAATTAAAATGAAGAGGATTTTGTTTATCATACATATTTTTATCTACTCAATTCAAAACTTCCTTATTTTGTATGTTTAGTCAATTACTGGCTTCTGCCTGTAGCTTCACATGTAAAGAAGCGCTTTTAACCTCAGTAACCCTGGGTTTATTTGACAGTGAAATGTACCCTGTGCCTTGTTGTATACCCCTGCCAATGTGTATTTGAAAGAACAGAACAGATATCAGAACAGAATCCATGTGGTGACAGATTAAGAACACAGAGTTTCACCACCCCTTTACATCCCGTCACATTTGTAATATTAGTAGTCTAATATGTTTGTAATGTGTCATATTTGTACTCTACAACTTTTAATGTTAATTGATTATGGAAAATGTATCTATCACAGAAATAACAAAACACAGGAAATTGGTAACCCAAACTAACTTTGATTCACAGTTATGAATAGTTCCTTTATATACATATTTATATATTTAATTAATAAAGATTTGAAATGTGAATTTGTATTCTATATTTTATTTATGCATAAAGTTTAAATGAATAAACTTAACAAATAAATAATTTGTTGCAAAACTGTAAATAGTATCCAAATTGTAATTTTTTACAGACTTCTAGCAAACTAAGTAAGTATTGTTGTTGTTAACTCAAAGTAAATATTTATAAAATGTGAATGATACCCACCTAACCTGCATAAGTCATTTGGGTACCAAAACAAAAAAGGTATGACTTTTTAAAACATGTATAAAAAAATAGTACAAACCGTATAGTATACAAAGGACAGCAGGTTACGTCCATAATTGGCTTATAGCAATATTTTCCTGATCTTCTCCACCCTCTATCTATTAAATCTTGATAGTCACTTACAGTTAATGTGTGAGCCCACATTCCTTAAAAATTCCAGTTATTTAATATGTATAGAAAAACACGATAACATTTAATAATATTAAAACCCGCTTAGTATTTTCAAACTTCTTACCATGACTAAAATTAGTATCAGGGCTTTTACAATATCCACATCTATAACTTTCATGTTCAGCAAAATATTCCACCAGACTGTGCATTATCTTCCGTTAAATTCCTAACAATAGATATATCACTCGATTATTTGTAATAAAATCGTATTTAATTATTTTACTGACCACAGATCTAAAAATCTAAACACAAAATACTATTAGAGATATCCAAATATTTTAAATGAAAGTTAAAATATTGTCAGTTCTTGACATACGTCAGACTTGACATCAAACCAGTTAATTTTTTGTAGTTTTTGAAGCACAGTCTTTTTATACAAAAATTCTTTATACTTATGAAAAGCAATAAAATGCATATATATGCATTTTATTGCTTTTCAGAAGTATAATAAATACAAATATTTTCAAAATATATTTATTTATTATTTAATTATTTATTGTATACTCTTTAATAGAAAATAACAAACGATGTGTTACACATAAGTAAACGTAACAATTGGCGGTCTCACAGCGATTTCTTCCAGACAATCTTTACACGGATTTTAGGTATTTAATAGTTTAGGGTACTATACATACACGTAACACATTATCACGTGAATATTTAAAAATATTCATAAACATAAACAAACACATTCATACACAAATATACATCTATGGACATTACACATTTACAAAAAAAACATACATATACATGGGCATGTGCCCATACATGTTTGGAATATATTGAGTTTGGAACGATACTCTGAGATGTGATTATACTTGCGTAAACCAAATATGAATCTAATACAGAGGTTTTGGAGTCGCTCAAGTTTATTCAGTTGGTCTTCGGTGAGATCCAGGCAGCTGACATCGCTGTAAGTATGGGAAGCAGAAGAGATTGTGCGAGCGCAATTTTAGTATTGGTTGGAAGGAAGTTCCGTAGCCTTCGCGGAGATCTCGCTGCTGCAAAATGGCTTGCGACTAACTTCTCCAATCTGAGGACCCCAGGTTAGGTACCTATCTATATAGATCCCCAAGTTTTTAACTTTTTCACTATATGGGACAACCGGACCGTTGCAGGATATATGCATCTGCTAAAGGTTTATTTTACAATGCCGACTGGGCCTTCCTACTATAATGACTTGTGTTTTTTGTAGGGTTTACACTTAGTCCGTACTCCGTACTCCAGTTACATATTTGCATAGTCTCTGTTAATGGCATCCACTGTTTATGTTAGATTATCTGGAGTAGCTTGTGAGTAAATTTGGAGATCATCTGCATTAAGATGGTAGGAAGAAAGTAATTCGGGTGGCTGCTCCCCGTCCGACATCAAGGTCGGGGAGATACGCAGAACCGCAGCCCGATTGGGAACGGTTTGGGTCCGGGGCCCACTTACAGCAGTACGCCAAGCTGCAGCCGCCCAACGCGTGCAGGTGGGCTGGGCGTCGGTCCGTACCGAAGCGTTGGCACCTCGGCGCTTGCAATGTTACCAGTGCCTTGAAATGGGACACGTCAGGGTAAAATGCTCAGGTCACCCTGACAGGAGTGGGCGCTGCTTCCGCTGCGGAGAATTGGGTCATAAGGCCCGAGACTGCGCAGCTAATGCACCGAGGTGTCCGGTGTGCTCCGACCACGGCCGGCCCGCCAACCATCGGCTGGGTAGCAAGAGCTGTTGCCCACCGAAGCAGCAAAGGAGCGGAGAGGTCCAACCTCGCCCCGCCTTTGCCCAATCGGGCAAACAGCCAGTGTCGAGTGGTAACTCGACGGGAGAGGCAATGGAGGCTTAACATTCCCACCACACGCAAGGATTCTCCAGGGCAACCTCAACCACTGCCGCGCAGCGCAGGATCTATTGATCCAGACACTTGCGGAGCAGTCGGTTGCCCTGGCAGTCATTGCAGAGCCCTATACCGTCCCGGACCATTCGCGTTGGTTCGGGGCGGTCGATGGCTCAGCGGCCATTTATTGGCCGGGTGGGGAAGGCTTCCATTGCTCTCTCCTAAGAAAGGGTGCTGGCTTCGTAGCAGTGGAGTGGGGATTAACAGTGGTGGTGGGGTGCTACTTCTCTCCCAATCGTGGCCTAGCTGAATATGAGGCATACCTTCACGGGTTGGCAATCTGCATTCGCAGCTATGCCTCCCGTCCGGTATTTGTCCTGGGTGACTTCAACGCCCACTCAAGGGAGTGGGGTGACACTCGGAACGATGCGAGGGGAGAGACTATCCTGGAGTGGGCGGCTGGACTGGACCTCCGACTTCTAAATCGGGGCTCAGTTAGCACCTGTGTGCGATGGCAGGGGGAGTCGATTGTCGACTTGTCATGGGCGACTCCCTCTGCAGTGCACATGGTGTCGGGATGGCGGGTGGCCTGGTGGTTCCTGACCACCGGCACATCGTATTCGATGTGTCTCTCCGCCGCGCTGACCGCCCACGTCAGGATAGAGAACCTCCGCGACGATGGTCCCTCAAGCGGCTTGACCGAGAGATGGTCGTTGCCGCATCCCACGTGGCGGATTGGTTGGAGGAAAGGGTTTCGCCCGATCCAGACGAACAGGCGGCTTGGTTCGGGAACATTATGGCGTCCGTATGTAATGCCTCAATGCCCCGAGTCAGGCCAGCCAGGAAGGGCTCGGCGTACTGGTGGAGCGTGGAGATCTCGCAGCTGAGAACGACGGTCGCGAGATTGCGCCGCCCGTATCTTCGAGCCCGGAGAAGACGGCGAGCTACAGCTGAGGAGATCGACGTAGCACGGCGGGAATATGGCACTGCTGTAAAGGCTCTCAGCGATGCAATCGCTGAGGCCAAGGCTCGGTCCTGGAAAGAACTCATCGGGGGACTGGATAGGGACCCATGGGGGCGCCCGTACAAAATTGTAATGGGCAAGCTAAAACCATGGGTCCCTCCATTGACGGAAACCCTGGACCCGGAGTTCCTGGGAAGAGTGGTAGACACGCTCTTCCCAAGGGTCCAGGACAGTCCCTTAATCTCTCCGTTACAATCGGACCGGCAACTCTGGTCCGACGAGTGGGAGGTGACGGAGGGAGAGCTGGACCGAGTCGTGCGGCGGCTGGCTTCCCGCAACACTGCGCCCGGACCTGATGGGATTCCAGGTCGGGCGCTGGTGATAGCTCTGTCGGTACTGGGGGACAAACTGAGGCGGATTTTCACAGATTGTCTTAGCCTCGGTGTCTTCCCCCTCGGCTGGAAAGAAGCGAGACTGGTGCTCTTGAAAAAGGAAGGTAGGACTGCAGATTCTCCCTCTGCGTTCCGACCGATATGCCTGCTGAACGAGTCGGGGAAACTCTTTGAGAGGGTTATCTCCGATCGTATCAGCGGGCACCTGTCGCGAGTAGGCCCTGATCTGTCGGACTGCCAGTTTGGATTCCGACGGGGGCGTTCGACAGTGGACGCTATCAGGTGCGTCCGCTCCATGTCGGAGTCGGCAGTCCTATCAGGGGGGGTGGCTTTGGCGGTTAGCCTTGATATCGTTAACGCGTTCGGCACCCTCCCCTGGCAGGCAATTAGGGCGGCCCTTGAATTTCATGAGGTGCCGCTCTACCTGCGGGCCGTCATTGGGGCCTATCTGCGCGATAGGACAGTGAAGTTTATCGGTCGGGGCGGGGTGGAAAAGGTGGTGTTTTAGGCCCTTTGTTGTGGAACCTCGCATATGATGTGGTCCTTCGCACCAGTCTGCCCTCTGGCCTTAGTGTTGTCTGCTATGCTGATGACACTTTAATACTGGCTAGAGGGTCACACTTCGACGAGGTGCTTCGGCTCGCCGAGCATGGGGTGGCTTGTGTCGTGGGAAAGATTCATGAGCTGGGTCTGAAGGTGGCGCCTCAGAAAACTGAGGCGATATGGTTGCATGGCCTTCGTAAGCGCCAGGAACCATCCAGCTCATGCCTCCGGGTGGGTGACGCTGAAGTCCAGGTGGGCCGGTACATGAAGTACTTAGGCCTCATCCTGGACAGTCGGTGGAGCTTCGAAGAGCATTTCGTGCGATTAGTCCCCCGAGTGCGCGGGGTAGCGGGTGCACTGCATCGCCTGCTGCCCAATCTCGGGGGACCACGGGAAGAAGTTCGCCGTCTCTATATGGGGGTCGTGCGATCCATGGTCCTCTATGGGGCGACCGTCTGGTCTAATGACTTGGCGGGTGCCTCCCGCTGCAAGGCTCTACTCAGAAGCCTACAGCGGTTGATGGCCATACGGGTCGTACGGGGTTATCGTACCATCTCGTTTGAGGCGGCGACGGTCCTGGCGCGATATCCACCCTTCGCCATTCTGGCCGACATGGACGCGATGGTCTATGACCAAGTCCGTTCTGTCGGTCGGAATGGAGAGGAGGCCGCGCCGGATCATGAGCCCGGAATGCTGCGGCGGAACGCGCATACCCAGGCTCTGCGAGCGTGGCAGGCACGGCTTGTAATCCAGGGCAGTGCCAGCCAACGCGCCGTCGGAGCCGTTCTGCCGAGCTTCGAAGCGTGGGTAGGGAGGAACGACTGTGTCACCTACCGATTGACTCAGATGCTTACCGGGCATGGTTGCTTCGGTGAGTATCTGAATCGAATTGGACGGGAGGCCACGGCACAATGCCACCATTGCGGGTCCGACCGGGACTCCGCCCAGCATACTCTGGAGGACTGCCCTGGATGGGAGTCCGAACGTCGAGTCCTGGTCGGACAGATCGGACGAAACCTGTCACCGCCAGCATTAATCGCGGCAATGCTGGCGAGTGGCGAGGGATGGGCAGCCTTCTGCGAGGACGTTATGCTCCAAAAGGAGGCCGCAGAGCGGGATCGGGAGAGGGCCGATCCCGCTCGAAGGAGGCGGCGAAGGGTCCGTGGCAGAGGTCGCTAACTCCCCAATCGCCGCCTAAGGGTCGCTGCGGCCACATCTTGGGGCGATGTGACCGCTGTAAACGACCCGAGACAGATGACACTCCGGTGCGGCCGGGGGCTGTCGTCTAAGGCGGGATGCTGTTGTGCCTTTTACTCTGTAGAACAGTGAGAGGCGCGGTAGCGTCCTGCCCCAGGGTGACTTCGATCACTCCGGGATGTGCCTCAGACATGAGGTACGGCAGGGAGGACTCCAGAAGTCGCCGATGCGTTCCTG